CTCCTCCTCCTCCTCCTCCTGCTGCTGCTGCCATGGGATAACGCCTCCATCATTCCTCCTCCTCCTCCTCCTCCTCCTACTGCTGCTGCTGCTGCCATGGGATAACGCCTCCATCATTCCTCCTCCTCCTCCTCCTCCTGCTGCTGCTGCTGCTGCTGCCATGGGATAACGCCTCCTCCTCCTCCCCTCCTCCTCCTCCTCCTCCCCTCCTCCTCCCCTTAGAACGACGCCGCAGAGGAGGGAAAGCACGCAAGCCGACCACAAAGCGGTCCACGTCAGACTTGTCAGAATCACCCGCCAAAGCGACACGTGTTGGCCATTCTTGTGGAATTCAATCTTCTCTGTAATCAGGGAAGGAGGAGAGGAACGAGGAGGAGCATCACTCTCGCCTCTCTTCGCGGAGACTCCCGACTCCACCACACCTTTCTTACAAACAGGGCCAGTGACTACCCCTCCTCCTTCCCCCTCGCCGCACTCCTCGTGCTGAAAAGACCCCGCCCATTTCCGCCTCTCCTCCCCTCCCCTCCCTCTCCGCCAGTTCGTTCTCCTGACAACGACGGCATTATGGGCTCTAGGCGCGAATCCGGATCTCGAGGGGGCAATGGTCCCTACTACCATCACAGCTCCTGCCTCTTCCTCCCGATGACAAAGAAAGCGCCTCCCTCCTCTTCTCCTCTTCCAGGCTGCAACTCACTTCTCGACACTCTCTGCGTCACCATCTGGCGGTGAAGGAACATCGCCGTGGGCTCCTCCTGCCTCACCCGCAGGCTCAGCGACAACGGCCGAGTTGTTCTTCGAGAACAACAAGGCAGAGAAGGAGGGAGAGAAGGAGGGAAAGGAGGGAGAGAAGGACGGAGAGAAGGACGGAGAGAAGGAGGGAGAGGAGGCAGAGAAGGAGGGGTTGCAGGAGGCGGCCTGCCTTTGGACCTCCTCCCTCGTTCCCATTGATCTCGATCCCGACGGAGACAGAGACTTATCTGAAGGGATCCCGGCGGCAGGTGTCAGTGGGGAACAAAAGCAGTTGCTTACGGCGTGAAGTGGGGGGGGAGATTGCTTCTCTCCTTCTCCTCCTCCTCCTACTCCTACTACTCCGCCTCCTCTTCCACCTCCTTCTCCTCCTTCTCTGCTTGCATTTTTGATGGGCTTCTTCGCGCCGACATTTCCCTCTCTCGACGAAGAGAAGAGACACATAAGCTTGAGGGTCGTTGTAGGAGGGCCATCGGCGCCATACATCAGCAAGCATACGATCGGAATCATCAGGAGAGAGATGATAAAGAGAGAGATGAGAAGCTATGACCCAACCGAAGGTGGCCAGGGGTGTATTACCCCTCAGCGCACCGTACATCGCGAGGAAGACGAAGAATCGATCGAGCGGGGAGGTTGAGCTCCCTACCCCGACGGCGATGGAGAACGGGTTAAGCAGATAAAGCATGGGGACGGGCTCAGACGATGACAACGAAGAAGATGATGACGAAGCAGATGCAGACGGAGATGGCGGAGAGGAGGAGAGCTTGTGTTGCTTGTTCAGCTTGTGTTCCCGCCAGTTCCCGCCTCACGATGCAGCTATCGCATCATCTACTTTTGCCCTCAACCGATCTCCACCCACTCGTTGAGTTTGCCATCCTCCTGTGTATCCGTACCTCCACATCGTCAACAATCCCGCAAAAGCCCATCATCCACAGGAGGAATATACACATCATCCTCTCCACATCGTAAACAATCCCGCAAGAGCTCCCCTCCTCTCCTCCCATCATCCTCCACTGATGGGAAAATGTCAAGTTCTTCGTGTTCCCTCTCGTCTCTGAAAGGGAAAGAAACTATGTGGAGGAACACAAGCGCCCCTCCTCTCGTCACATCATCCTCCACAGGAGGAATACACAGTCATAGTTTCTTTCCCTTTCACAGACGAGAGGGAACACGAAGAACCTGACATTTTCCCATCAGTTAGGGCGAGAGATTCGCGCGTTATTCGCTCACCCGAACAGCAAAAAACAAACGACTGTCATGCGGTGCAAAGCATTCTCTTTAACCCTCATTTCAACTCTCTCTCTCTCTCTCTCTCTCTCTCTCTCTCTCTCTCTCTCTCTCTCTC